ATACTCCCTGTTGGGTCACTCTCCACGGCTTCACCAGGGCACTTTTTGGTGAAACTGGCATTTTAAGAATGTTTTATTTTTAATTTTGTCACTGTGGGTGTGTGGTGGTGAAGGACAGAGGACCACAAGTACAGCTGGGTACCATTGCTTAGATTCCTGCAGGGGCGCCAGTTGTTTCAGCCACCTCTTCTTTGGCACTTCAGTGCAAATGCCCATACGGTGAGAGGGCAAAGGATGTCGGAGTATTATTCCAAAAAGAATACTATTCTCAAAATAGTTTTGACCTCAGGGGCCCCCAGGGGTGCACAGGCCACACTTTGAGGAGCACTGTTCTAGTCTTTTCTTTCATAAACCTTTCCCGAAAGCTTCCTGCATCCCAGTTCCTGAAAAGGACACTCCCCTCCACCACCTCCAAGTGTACGCACAGCTTTCTTCTCTAATAGTAACCAAAATTAACAGCTGGCATTTATTGGATTCCTATCACCATAATTCCTACTATCATAATCATTATCATAATAATTCCTATTTGCCAGGAGTCACCTGCCAAGCCCCCATAGCACCGGGGAGCCATCAGGACACTGGATCATGGAGGAGAGTTTATTAAAGAGATTTTTTACAAAGCTGTGGGCAGCATTAAGGTAAACCAACAGGCAATGATGAAGTATCGGGGCTTGCGGCCCCCTAGGCCTGAAGGGGTAAGAGAAGCCATGCTTCCCGGAATTGGAGAGGGCACCCCCTCAGAACTGTGGCCAATGGGACAAGGATGTGGCCAATTGCTGGGGTGAACCATGGAAATTCTTTAGAAAGATGACATTCAAGGCCCGGGCGCAGTGGCTCACGCCTGTAATCCTAGCACTCTGGGAGGCCGAGGTGGGTGGATTGCTCAAGGTCAGGAGTTTGAAACCAGTCTGAGCAAGAGTGAGACCCCGTCTCTACTATAAATAGAAAGAAATTAATTGGCCAACTAATATATATAGAAAAAACATTAGCCGGGCATGGTGGTGCATGCCTGTAGTCCCAGGAGGCTGAGACAGGAGGATCGCCTGAGCCCAGGAGTTTGAGGTTGCTGTGAGCTAGGCTGACCTCACGGCACTCATTGTAGCCTGGGCAACAAAGTGAGACTCTGTCTCAAAAAAAACCAACCAAACAAACAAAAATGACATTCAAGCTTAAATTATGTCTTTTGTGATTGTGTTCATTCTCAGCGTGACTGTGAGTCCTCAGGGATGAGCCAGCAGGGCGAATACCCTGGCTTCTCTCTCCTCCTACCCTTTAATTCCCTGCTGGTGTGTCCTCCGGGAGAGGAAAGCCATGGGACAGGGGAGTCTGTGGTCACAGTTCATGTGGGTTGCAGGGCCAGGCGAAAAAGGGGAGAGAGAGAATGGATCTGGAAGGACAAATGCAGGCTGTTTCTTTGGCACAGAACTTAATTTGTATCATCTCATTTGATCTTACTAACCCAGTGAAGCAAGGGCTAGTGCAATCTCCATCTTGCAGATGGTCAGATTGAGGCTGGAGAGGTGGGGTCTGGATTTGAGCGAGACCCAGACCTCTGAGCCGCTACGCCACACCGCCTGGCAAACGGGCAGGCAAGGAGAAGGCAACGTGGGTTGGCTTCAGTGTGCGGCTCCCATGGAGTAGCTGAACAAGTCATGCTATGTGCTGGGGAGTTGTTCCTTATTTATAAGACTCCACACTGCCTTCCTGTTCCTCTCAATTGCTATTCTTCTGGCCAAAGACTCCCTGGACAGGGCAGGAGCTCAGCTCAAAATTCAGAAACATGTCCAGCGAGCAGCTGGGGAATCATTGTTGGGTTCCACAAGGAGCCTTCTCACCGTCCGCCCTCCACCCCAGCTGACCTGGAGGCTCCCTGCCAGGACACTCAGTGTATTTTGATGAGTTAAATGAAAACAACCACCATAACCAAAACAAATCCAAACTGCATGGGTCCTGGGGGAAAGAAAAAAAAAAATCAGGAAAGTTGGCCACTTCATGATTGCTTCCTTTGCAAATTCTCCCCCTACCTTTTAAATGACTATGTTTAATGTAAGTTGTAGAATTCCTAGGGGATGTTCTATTAATAGAAATTTAAAAATGTAAAAGTCTAAGCTGGACCCTTTGGTCAAGCTTTATCAATGCCATAGAAGAGTTTAAATGATTTAGGGGTTTTAGGATAGCTATACATGCCAAAACAATTTAATCATGTCACAGATATTACTGATCATGTCTACTCTGTCCCGAGGTGAAGTGCTGCTTCTCTGACTAATGGCCTGCTGTTCTGGGTTACCTAAATATGTTTATGGATATATTCCATGGATGCTTCGCAACTGTTCACATCCCACAATTATAGCACTCAGCCTTCCTTCAGGGCAATATCAACACCACACATTCCTCCAAGTTAGAAATCATTCCCGTCTCTATCTACTCTCTTTTGGAGGAAACATCAAGTTTTCATACCAATGTGTGAACCGGCCATGTGGCACCTGCACTGTACAATGTGGAGCAGCCCAGTAAAGTCGCTACACTCAGGGACAGGTCACTGCCAACCAGAGTGACCAAGGATATGTTGGTCCAGAGAGCTCTGGGGGCCAAGGAGAAGTGGGGTCTCAGGGAATCTGGGAAGGCTTCCCGGAGGAGGTAACACTGAAGCTGAGGCCTGCAAAGTCAGATAAACATGAGGCAGGAAAAAGAGAAGGCACCCAGTGTTCTAGGCAGAGGGAAGAGCAGGTGCTAAGGAAAGCTTCGAGAGAGGATGGAGCATGGCCCGTTCTGGGATCGAGGGAGAACAAGCTCAAGTGGGTTGACGGCGAGAGAAGAGGCTCAGGAGATGGGTGTGGTTGGATCTTGGAGAGCTTGTAGCCACATTACGGATTGGAACTTTCTCCCTGGGCCCGAGAGGAGCCATCCATGTATTTTCAGCAAAGAAACAACATGGGCAAAGTTTTAAAAAATATCACATTGCAAAAGGATAGAGAAAAATCAAGAGGGACTTTGTGGTTCTAGAGAAGCGCAGGGGCCAGCAGGAGCTGTCGATGTCTGCCACGGACTGGGGTGGGCGGGCAGGGCCACTCCCTGCTGCTGAGAGGGGTGGGGGGAAGGTGGTGGGCTCTACAAAGCTGTCCTCCCCTGCTGGCTTACAAGGGTGTCCTCCAGAGCTGCAGATGAATCCCAAGGGGTGGAGGTAGTCACCACCTTCTGCCTCCTTGCAGGGGGCAGCACTGGTGAGGGCCTCTGAGGAGGACAGTGGCTCTGCTGGTCACTCTTGGCCCCTTTGGGTCGCTCTGTCAGGGTGGGTCAGGAACGGGGGGCGTGGGGTGGGAGGAGTGCAAGGCAGAGGGATGGGTGTAGGGGCCAGGAGGCTGATAAGCTCTACAACAATGTGTAGAGCTGGCTGCATTTCATAAAAATGGAATCATACAATACGTGGTTCTCGGTGACTGGTTCATCTGCGTTGTAACATGGATCAATACTTCATCATTTTTTTTTTCTTTTTTTGAGTCAGAGTCTCAATCTGTTGCCCAGACTAGAGTGCCATGGTATCAACCTAGCTCACGGCAACCTCAAACTCCTGGGCTCAAGCGATCCTCCTGCCTCAGCCTCCTGAGAAGCTGGGCTACAGGCACACACAACCATGCCTGGCTAATTTTTTTCTCTATATAGTTTTAGTTGGCCAATTAATTTCTTTCTATTTTTAGTAGAGACGGGGTCTTGCTCTTGCTCAGGCTGGTTTCGAACTCCTGACCTTGAGCGATCCTCCCACCTTGGCCTCCCAAAGTGCCAGGATTATAGGCGTGAGCCACCGTGCCCAGCCCTTCATTCATTTTAATTGCCAAAAATATTCTATTGAATGGACGTACTACATTTTATTTATCCATCATCCGTTGATGGACATTTGAGTTGTTTCTACTTTTTCACTATTATGAATAATGTTTCTGTGAACATCTATATACAAGTTTTTGTGTGGACATCAATTTTTATTTCTCTTTGGGCATACACTGGTAAGTACAATTGCTAGCTGGGAGTACAAATGGTAACTGTATGTTTAACATTTTGAGGAACTGTCAGGTTGTTTTTACAAAATTCTCTTTTGTCTCTAGTAACATTTTTGTATTTTAAAGTCATTTTTGTTTGATCTCTAGCTTTCTTCTGGTTGTCCCTTGCCTTTTAAAAAAGATGATGTAACCATAAGTGATATATTATGTAGTTATGCATGTTTTGAGCTTTATAGAAGTGGGGTCACGCTATCAATGTAGTCTACTTGGACTTGCTGTTTTCACTCAATGTGCTATTTCTAAGACCTATGTATATTGTCACATGTAGCTACAGTATAATTTATGTTGATTGCTGTATAATATTCCAGTGTGACGCTACCATCATTTATTGATTCATTCTCTTGTTAGTGGATATTTGGCATGTTTTCAGTGTTCGGCTACTACAAATTTATTGCTGCTATAAATATCCTCTCCTGATATGAGTTTCTCTTGTTCTCAAAGCAACCAGCAATGTCACCATTGACTGGGAAGTTGTTAGAAATGCAAATTCTTGAGCCCCACCCAAGGTCCACTGGGTCTGGAGCTCTGGAGCTGGGAGTGGAAGTCTGTGTTTTAATCAGCCCCCCAGGTGACTGTGACATCTCATAGTTTGAGGTGCGCCGCTCCAGGGTGTACACTGGGAGTGAAATCTCTGGATTGCAGGCAGCCGGTTGTTTTCCAAAGTGGTTGTTCGGTGTTACACTCCGACAGCACGTATGTGAGTTCCCACGGAGACACGCACTCTCGGCACTTAGCATTGCCAGGTTTCTCTATTTTGCCCACCGAGTGGGTCCATCTGACTGGTCTCCCCTGAGAGAGGCAGGGGCGTGGCGGGTGATTTCTCCTCCCCGTCTGCCTCCCACCCTTCCTCTGTCTCAGCAGCCAGACAGGGTGCTGCCGCGGCACGTTTACTGGCAGCTCAGCTGTCGCCGTGGTTACAGCCTTCGTCAGTGTGGTTCGTTTCGACAGGAGTACATGCACTACCTGCTCGCCCTGGAGCACCGCGCGGAGGAGCAGTTCCTGGAGCACTGGCTGAACCCTCACTGCAAACCCCACTGCGACAGGAACAGAGTCCACCCCGTGTAAGGGGCTTGGGACCAGCCATGGTACGTCCCCTTCTTCCAGGCCTTCTGTCTGGGGGGTGGGCGGGGACAGCATGGCACTGCCTGGAGACTCTCCGGACCATGGTGCTGGGGGCCCAGCCAGCTAGCTGGTCATGGGTCAGGGGTGGCCAGAGCGGGCCAGGGAAGATGGGGAGCCAGGTGGCGGGGAGCCCGAGGGACACACAGGGGAGCCTGATCTCTATTGAGTCCCCAGCAGATCCTGGATAGGGGAGGGATTTGGCCCTATTTGCCATTCAGAGAAGATCAGTCTGGAATCCAAATCTGGAGACACGTGGCTTGTTGAGACTTGGGTCTCCCCAGGTGGGGTCAGCATGATGGGATTGACCCGTGCCATCCACCACGTCATCACCATTGTCACCAGCATCAGCAGCCTCTTTTGCGGGTCTCTCTCTCGTCCCCCCACTGCCCTCCCACAGCCGCCCTCAACCTGCCCTCCTCCCTGGGCTTCTTCCTTCAGCCACCCGCAGGGGATGCTCAGCGTCCCCAGCACACCCCACACGCCCGCCTCTGCACCTCTGTTCCCCGAGGAGGCTGCTTGCTTCTCCCTGTCTGTCTGTCTGTCCTCATTGCCTTTCCCGCCTTTCCAAATCCTATTAGATAGGTAGCAGAATTCCTTCAGCGGTTAAGCCCAGGGAATTTCATTTCTCCTCTGTAAGTTTTACGGACGAAGCAGGACAGGATATAATCAGGTAGTTTATCATCTGTGGCTAGGAGAAATATTACGTCTTTGTTGTGGTTTGTTTTGTGCTAGTGTGAGAGGTTGACAGAGGGACACTCCCGTTAGAGTGTCACTCTATAGTTTTCAGGTTGTTGTCACATAAAATCTCTCATTTGATCCTCTTAGCACCCCGCTGTCATTGCAGGGCATGCACTTTAACCCCTTTTTATAGAAAAGCTAACTGAGCACGAGTAGGCCACTAACTCATACTAGGTGGCGGTTGGTATGTCAGTCTTCTGACAACTGCAAATCCTACATGGTTTATGCACACTGTACTGCTCTGTCCTGTGTGCGTGTCGGGGGCATGGAATCCCTCAGAGGGGCTTTCACAGATGGAAGTGAGAGAGTCGCCTACTGGGAGTGAAATGCAAGTTCTGCTTTTGAGGGGGAGAGGATGGGCCGACATCCCTCTTCTGTCCGGGCCTGGGGAGCCCTGTTCGAGGTCAGGGTTCCGGTGTGCCTGGGCTGGGCTCCTGACCCCCAGGCTGCTGGCCCTGCCTGCATTGACCTTCGTCTTCCAGCGCTGGAAGCCCTTGCTTGGCTTCTTCCAGAAAACAGAAGCGTGGAGTCGTTAGATGCTCAGACTCTGGAACTGGTCAGGGCTGGGTTTGACTCTGTGTCCCAGCTCTGTGGCCTTGGGCAAGTTGCCTAACCTCTCTGAGTCTCTGTTTCTGCCTCTGTAAATCGGGCTAACAGTGATGTCTAGGAAGCCTGGAACATAGTAAATGACTCCATACGTGGGAGCACTTACTACCGTGTGCGACCAGGCAAGAGGCGAGGTTTCTGGGTTGTGTGAGCCCCACCGTAGCACCCTCCCAGGGGTGACTGAGGCCTGCTCCCTCTGTGGGACAGGCCCTGCTGGGGAGCCTCGCTCCAGCAGCTCGCACACACACGGAGGCGGGGAGGTAGTGGCGGGAGGGGTGTGTCAGCTTGGAATTTGGGGTCAGCTTTCAGGTGCTGAGTTCGCCAGTCACCGGCTGAATAACCTAGGGAAAAAATTCCTGATTATACAATTTTTTCATCTGTTAAATGAGGATAGTAATAGGTCCTCCCTCATTGGTGTTCTAAGGATTGAAAAAGTCAATGCCTGGAAAATAGGGTTGCCCTGGCACACACATAGGAGTGCTCAGAAATGACAGCCGAATGGCTGTTTGCTCCTCCTTAGTCTCCCCCTCCTCTTCCTTAGTCTACTCCTTCTTTCCTCTCCTCCTCCTACTTGTTCTTTATCAACATCATCATCACCACCACCACCACCATCACCACCATCATCATCACAATTACCACCATCACTACCATCACCATCATCATCATCATCACTATGACCACCATCACTACCATCACCATCACCATCATCACCACTACCACCACCACCATCACCACCACCATCATCATCATCACTATGACCACCATCACTACAATCACCATCATCATCATCATCATCATCAATACCACCACCACCATCACAACCGTCACCACTATGACCACCATCACTACCATCACCATCATCATCATCATCATCATCACTATGACCACCATCACTACAATCACCATCATCATCATCATCAATACCACCACCACCATCACCACCACCATCATCATCATCACTATGACCACCATCACTACAATCACCATCATCATCATCATCAATACCACCACCACCATCACAACCATCACCACTATGACCACCATCACTACCATCATTATCATCATCATCACTACCACAACCACCATCACCATCCTCATCATCATCATCACTACCACCACCATCATCATCACTATGACCACCATCACTACCATCACCATCATCATCATCACTACCACCATCACCATCACAACCATCATCATCACTATGACCACCATCACTACCATCATCATCATCATCATCATCACTACTACCACCACCATTACCACCACCATCACCATCATCATCATCATCACTATCACCACCACCATCACCACCACCATCACCATCATCATCATCACTACCGCCACCACCATCATCACTATGACCACCATCACCGTCATCATCATCATCATCACTACTACCACCACCATCACAACCATCATCGTCACTATGACCACCATCACTACCACCATCATCATCACTACCACCATCATCATCACTACCGCCACCATCACCATCGCCACCATCACCATCACCATCATCATCACCACCATTGTCATCACCATCACCACCACCATCATCATCACCACCATTGTCATCACCATCACTGCCACCACCATCATCATTATCCTAACATTATTTTCTTGTTCTTTTTCAGCAAGCATTTTATATGCAATGACCTGAATAATGTTGAAACAAGACACGTCTCCTTCTTTTGTTTGTTGTTAAACTGTGGAAATGGATGTCTTCAGATCTTGTGAATGCTGGGTGTGCCACAGTTTGCCTCGGGGATGAGGCAAAATATATATCCTGCTTCATTTTACTAACCTGCATAAATCATTAAAACTAATAGCTTAAGCTATAGACTCCTCAAAGATCTTTCTACCAGTTTGTACGGGTGGACAGAACAAGCACCTTACATGGGCTGATGGAGCTGGAGCCTCCAGACCCGGCGTTTGGGGCAGGCTGCCTGTCCTAAGGAATTGGGGAAGTCTTGTTCAGAGCAGTGAAGCACACCATTTGGGGCTCCTGAGATTTTTATCATCTATTTCTTTTTCCTCTTCTTTTCTTTCCTAATAAACATTGGTGTTAAATCTACTTTCTGTGGTGTCTCCTTTCCTTTCCCTAGAAGAATCGAAGCAGAGATTTCTCTCTCTTGTTTATCTGTGTAAATGTAGCATCAGGAAACGTACTGTTGTTGGAATAAATGAAGAGATGAAACTGTGAACATCCAGGAGTTTTGCACAAGGATCATATTTTTTTGGTAAAGAGATTATTTGCTCAAAGCCAGCTTTGGACATAGGGCCATTACTTAATACCAGGTACACACCCTGGTCTCCTAGCAAAGGACACATTTCTTGTAGAAGGTGGGTTGCAGCTCCTGCGTCCCAGTGGCCTCACCTGCCCCACAACTCCAGCATCAAAGATTGGACAACGAAGGACCAATAAAAGCAGAAATTCAGAGGGCAAGAGAAGGTAGGCCAAGGGACAGGAGAACCTGGCATCTTCAATAAAAGGTAAGAAGGGGTGCCCACACACCCCATGCTATGGGGAGGGCTGTCTCAAGGAAGGTTGGGTGGGTTTGTCTAGGGAGAAAGTCACTGCAGGTAGTTTGCTCAAGTCCACACAGCTGGTGGGTGGAGGAGCTGGGATTTGAACCTAGGAAGCCCTCATTACTCCAGTCCCCAGCCCCAAACACCCTATACCTCTGCCTTGAACCTGGTATACTTTTACCTTGAATTAAGTGATTTTCTAATCTCAGCTTCTTGATGGCTGAGGATGTGTCTTATCGGGGTTCAGCTGCACCCCTCACCTAGCGGGGGCATCAGCTGGGTGCCAGATGCCTTCCACAGGCCCTGACATTCAATGCAGGGGCTTGCCCGGGGTGCGCGCAACCGCGGTGCATTGACTGTTCTCTCAGTCCACCTCCTACCTGCCTCTCAGGGTGTTTTACAAGAACTAGGAGCTGAATACGTGCGTGTGGGACACAGTGCAAGGGAATGAGACCGAGAGGTCCCAAAAGAGAGAAGGAGGGAAGCAGAATTAAAAATAAAGCAGACCCACAGGGTGTCCCACGTCCAGGCAGGGATGGAAAGGCTTCATTGTGCTAAGGACCTTGGGCATGGCTCATGTGTCGGGGCAGAAACTCCCTGTAGGAGCAGAGGGGATTCTTCATCGGTCACAGATAGTCTGCTTCTCAGCATCCTTCCCTCCCCTTGACAAACGAGATGCGTGCGCTTACCCAGAACACACGCCGAGGCTAACCCGCTGCAGTTCGCAGTGATTTTGCTGCAACGTCCCCCCTCTGTCTCAAAGCTCTTCAGAAGGCAAGCAAGTGACAACAATCTTGACAGTGGCAGAGAGCAGTAGTCCAGAATCCAGGCTTGGGGCCAGATTGCGTGCACTCAGATCCTGGCTCCACCACTGACTAGCTGTGTGCCTTTTGGCAAGCTGATTAACCTCTTTGGGCCTCAGTTTCCTTATCTGTGAAATGGGAATAATCATAGTACTTAGTTCAAAATGCCACTGTGATAATTACTTTATTGAGTGAGCACTCTATAAAACTAGTTATTACTATAAAAAATTCTTGGGCATTATTTTATTGATCAAGATGAAGTCAGTCAGTCTTTTTTTCTATTTTCTTTAAAAAACCTTTAATTTAATTTAATTTAATTTAGGGAGGAGGTGGAGAGTGTTTGGGGGACTCAGAGTAGAAGAGCCTCCCTATTTGAGAAAGAGTTGCCATCTTTATAATATTGAATCTTCCTATCTATGAACATGGTCTGTCTCTCCGTTTATTTAGGCCATTTTTTAATGTCTATCATTAAAATTTTATAATTTTCTTTGTAAATATTATGCATATAATTTTTAAAGCATTAAACCTAGATCCTCATAGGACTTTTAAAATTATAACTGAAATTTTCTTAAAGCTACATTTTCCAGTAGGTTAATCTGGTGTATATAGGAATAATATTGATGTTTATGTATTGATGGTACCCAGAAGCATCCCTCCTGGGAAGGTTCTGTGGTGGAATAGAAACAACTTTGCCTCCATAATGGGAGGCAGCTCATAGGCCTCTGAGCTACGTGAAGGAGGAGCATTCAGGCTCACCGGCTAGCACAAGCTGCACTTCCCGAAATAGGCAGAGACCATGGGCTCTGATGGTCTGGGTTTGGCGTCAGAAAGGATGGACATGAGGATTTCCAGATGGAACTGCATTTCATATTTTATTTAACAGCACCGAGCCCCTTGCAGGGTAGTGCGCTTATTCTTTTTATAGCTTCAAAGATAAATAAGATCCTAATTCAAAAAAACTTATAGTCTAGCAGGGAGACAGATATACAAGCAGGTAGCTGCACTGTAGCTCAGGGGTTGGCAAACTTGTTCTATAAATGGCCCAGTAGTAAGCGTTTTTTTTTTTTTTTTTTTTTTTTTTTGAGACAGAGTCTCACTTTGTTGCCTAGGCTAGAGTGAGTGCCGTGCAGCCTAGCTCACAGCACCTCAAACTCCTGGGCTCAAGTGATCCTGCTGCCTCAGCCTCCCGAGTAGCTGGGACTACAGGCATGTGCCACCATGCCCGGCTAATTTTTCCTATATATATTAGTTGGCCAATTAGTTTCTTTCTATTTATAGTAGAAACGGGGTCTCGCTCTTGCTCAGGCTGGTTTTGAACTCCCGACCTCGAGCAATCCGCCCGCCTCGGCCTCCCAGAGAGCTAGGATTACAGACGTGAGCCACCGCGCCCGGCCAGTAAGCGTTTTTGTCTTATGGGTCATATAGTCTCTGTCACAACGACTCTGCTGTTATATTTGTACAGCAGCCAAAGACAATAAGTAAACAAATGGGTGTGGCTACTATGGAGGGATAAGTAGGGACGAGAGCAGGGCAAGGTGGTATTGTGGAAAGAAAGCTAGTTTTGGAGTGAGACAGATTCTAATTGCAACTTAGCTTTGTGACTAGAGGGGTCATTTAACCTCTTAGAGTCTGTTGGTCCCCCCTCTTTAATTGGGATAATAACACTGGCCTCTAGATTGCTGGGAGCATTAAATGAGATAACTGCCAACATTTTATTTATTTATTTATTTATTTTTTTGAGACAGAGTCTCACTTGTTGCCCAGGCTAGAGTGAGTGCCGTGGCTTCAGCCTAGCTCACAGTGACCTCAAACTCCTGGGCTCAAGTGATCCTGCTGCCTCAGCCTCCCGAGTAGCTGGGACTACAGGCATGTGCCACCATGCCTGGCTAATTTTTTCTATATATATAGTTGGCCAATTAATTTCTTTCTATTTGTAGTAGAGATGGGGTCTCGCTCTTGCTCAGGCTGGTTTTGAACTCTTGACTCGAGCAATCCACCCACCTCGGCCTCCCAGAGTGCTAGGATTACAGGCGTGAGCCACCATGCCCGGCCTCTGTCAACATTTTATTGAGCACTTAAAATGTGCCAGGCACCATGCTAATGCCTTCACTGTGTTAAGTCATTTAATTTTCACAATAACCCTGTGAGGTAGGGACAATTATTATCCCCATTTTACAGACCGGAACCCTCGGGGTCTAGAGATGTGCTCATATCCATCAAATCACAACATTAGGAAGTGACTTGCGCCAGAGCCCACAGCGTCAACTCCATGTTGTGCTTCTTCCCTAAGACCCAAGGGAAGCGCGCATGTCAGAGCTCGGCCACGTGAGCTGGCCTAGAAGCAGGACAGTAGTCCCTCCTTATCTGCAGTTTCAGTTACCAGGGGTCCACGGCAGCCTGAAAATATTCAATGGAAAATTCCAGAAATAAACAATTCATAAGTCTTAACTTGCATGACTTCTGAGCAGCAGGACGAAATCTCCCACCATCCCGCTCCATCTCGCCCAGCATGCGAGTCCTCCCCTTGTGCAGTTTCCGGGCTGCGGACACTCCCAGCCCTCGGTGAGGCTGTGGGTCATCAGATCACCGCTGCGTCCTGGCAGGGCTTGTGTCCGAGGGACCCTTATTTGGCTTACCAACGGCCCCAAAGCGCAAGAGTAGTGGCGTGGCAATTCAGATATGCCAAAGAGAAGCCCTAAAGTGCCGCCCTCACGAGAAAAGGTGGAAGTCTTCAACATAATAAGGAAAGTGAAACAATCGTATGCTGAGGTTGCTAAGATCTATGGTCAGACTGAATCTTCTGGGACATTGTGAAGAAGGGAAAGGAAATTCATGCTCCTTTTGCTGTCAAGCTTCAAACTGTAAAAGTTAACAGCCACAGTGCGTGGTATGTGCTGAGCTGGGATGGAAGGGGCCTTAAATTTGTGGGTGGAAGCCACGAACAGGGACGTGTTCTGATTGATGGCAACTAGGTTTGGTACCATCTGCGGTTGCAAGCGTCCCGTGGGGATCCTAGACAGTCTTCCTTGCAGATAAGGCGAGACCACAGTACTCTGCTGGACTGGAAGCCTGGAGGGCGTGACCCATTTCTGCATATTTCCACGCCTAGCTCAGTGCTGGGCACGGAGGTGGCACTAAATGCATATGTATTTGTCAAGTGGTGGATTCTCTCCCTGTCCCTGCCCCACCCCAGCTGTCAATTGCAAACTCGGTAGTCTGATAACAAAGAGGGAATAACTAACTCCTTTTCTAAGCGGAGTTTGGGGATGGCTCCAGGGCAGGCCTCACTTTGGGAAGGGTGAGAAGCAGTCTGCCAGGCAGGAAGGGGAGGAAAGGCATGCCAGGCCAAGGAAAAGCTCTCTGCAAAGGCACACTTTTCTACCTGCCTGGAATTTGTTCTAAACCCTTGCTCTTCCTTTTTCTAGCAGCTTCCCAGTGTGGAACGTGGTCTGATGCCAGATGCTGGCCTTTATTGCTCTTGGCTTCTGGATCCAGTTCCTTGGTTTGTTTGTTCTTCTGCTCATTTATTACTCATGTGTCAGGCACTGTGCTAGGCTCTGGAGACTCCTGAAGATTCCACCCAAACAGGGGCCAGCCTGTTTGTGATGGATGCTGTGAAGGATAGATCAAAGTGCCCAGGTGCGTGGGGGCACTAACAGGTACCCCACCTAGAATGGCTTGTCAGAGAAGGCTTCCTGGAGGGGGCAC